ATCAGATAAGGGACTTATATCTGGAATTTATAAAATACTTGAACACCACAATAAGATAAAGGTAAATAATCCAATAGAAAAATGGGCACAGGATATGAACAGACATGTCACCGAAGAAGACATTCAGATGGCCAACAAGCACATGAAGAAATGTTCAAAGTCCCTAGCTCTTAAGAGAGATGCAAATCAAAACAACAATGAGATATCATCTCACCCCTGTAAGAATAGCAAAATACAGCAGAACATCAAGCAACAAATGCTGGCGAGGATGTGGAGAAACTGGAACTCTTATTCACTGTTGGTGGGAATGTAAGATGGTGCAACCATTGTGGAAGGCAGTGTGGCGTTTTCTCAAAAAATTGCAAATAGAGATACCATTTGACCCAGCAATCCCATTACTGGGAATATACCCCAGAGAGACCATGTCTGCCATCCAAGCAGATTTATGCACACCCATGTTTATCGTAGCTTTGTTTACAATAGCAAAGAGTTGGAAGCAGCCTAAGGGACCATCAACAAACGAATGGATAGAGAAGCTGTGGTATATCCACACAATGGAATACTACACAGCATTGAAAAACAAGGAACTCATGCAATATTATTCAAAGTGGGTGACCCTGGAGGACATTATGCTGAGTGAAATATCTCAGTCACAAAGGGACAAATACTGCATGGTGCCACTGTTGTAGAATGGGTCTGACATCAGGGTGGGGGTATGACAGAAAAAACTGGATAAATTATGTATATTGTATTGAAACAGATGAGGGAAAGAACAGATTAGAAGTGATATATGATTGAGTATTATGGTTAGCTTAGGAATCCAGAATTAAGGTTGCATAGAGAAGTGTACTTGGGGTGGGCGGTGGGGGGGAGTGGACGTGGGAATTGTATACTAATGAAGGAATTTTTTTTACCGCTCTTCCGAGGGGGAAACGAGCTGGTGGGGAGGGGTGGGCAGGGAGAAAAGTGCAGCAGTGAATGAATGGAAATCTAAAACCTCTGTAAATGTCTATTAAAATTAATAATAATAATAATAAAAATTAAAAAGTCACAGCCCTTCCCTAGCTCTCAGAGAGATGCAAATCAAAACAACTATAAGATATCATCTCACCCCAGTAAGAATAGCAAAATTCAACAGAGCATCAAACAACACATGCTGGCAAGTTGCGGAGAAAATGGAACCCTTACTCACTGTTGACGGGAGTGTAAAATGGTGCAACCACTGTGGAAGGTTGTATAGTAACCTCTGAAAAAGTTTCAAATAGAAATACCATTTGACTCAGCAGTTCCATTACTGGGAATATACCCTAAAGAAACCATAACTGCTACCCAGGCAGATATATGCACACCCGTTTATTGAGGCTTTGTTCACAATAGCAAGGAGTTGGAAACAACCCAAGTGCCCATCAACAAATGAATGAATAGAGAAGCTGTGGTATATTCACACAATGGAATACTAGGCTGCATTGAGAAACAAGGAACTCATGAAATATTATTTAAAATGGGTGACCCTGGAGGACTTTCTACTGAGTGAAATATCTCCATGACAAAAGGACAAATACTGCATGGTGCCACTGTTGTAGAACAGGACTGACATCAGGGTTGGGGTGAGACTGAGAAAAATTGGATAAATTATGAATACTTCATTGAAACAGATGAGGGAGAGAACAGTTTAAAAGCAATGTATGATTACGTATTATGGTTATGACACGAGTCCAGAATGAAGGTTGCATAGTGGAGTATACTCAGGGGAGGGGAGAATTGTATACCAATGAAAGAACTTTTCTTTTACTTTTCAAAAGAAAGCACAAACTTGGGGTGAGGTGTGGGCAGGGAGAAAAATGCAACAATTAATGAATGGAAATCCAAAATCTCTCTAAACGTTCATTAAAAGTAATAAAATAAAATTTTTTTAAAAAGTCACAGTCTTAGAATCCCCATGAGGGCAGTTCTATTCTGTCCTATAGAACCTCTAAGGGTTGGAGTCAAGGTGGCATCACGTGTTTTTGTTGTTGTTGTTGTGTGCCATCGAGTCACTTGCGATGGGGTTTTCCTCTCTTGTGCTGTCCCTCCACCCTTACAAGTATGATGTCCTTCTCCAAGGACTGGTCCCTCCTGGCCACGTGCCCAAAATGTGTGAGACAGAGCTTCAAAATCCTAGCCTCCAAGGAGAAACTTGGTTTCACCCTCTGCAAGACAACACATAGTAACATAAATTAGCTTTCTCTCTTAACTTGCATCAACATTGTTCCTGGAAGCTGTGATAAAAAAAAATCAGACATATTGCTCTGGGCAAATGTGCTGCAAAAGTAAATATATCACTGACCCAAGCCCTGGTCTTTTCAATCACCTCATCTGCTTGAGAAAGACAAAACTCTTTCATTACTGTCAAGTAAGAAATGACTCACAGTCGACCCTCCAGTGGGTTTTTGGAGGCTGTGAATAGCATGGCAGGAGATTGCCTGTCTTTCCCCCTCAGAATATCTGGTGAATTAGAACCAGCAGAGAAGCCCTACCTTTAGGATAAAAATGGAATTCTCTACAGGCTATGCCACCAAAGATATGAGAAAGGTTCTTGTTGTGTGCCGTTGAGTCAAAACTGACCCATAGCTGACCCTCCAGGGAGTCAGGGCAATAAATTGGATGGGAGAAGGCTGCCTATCCTTCTCCCATGGAGCAGCTTGGTGGATTGGAATTGCGTGCCTTCAGCATTTCTGCTTTTTACCACTAGGCCACCCAAGCGCCTTCCTTTATGACCTCTTTCCCAATAAACATGCCTGGTACTGGAAGCCAAGAGATCAGAAGACTGCGCACTAGGAAAATCTGCTGTTAACAGCCTTAGATCATGATCTAAGAGGCAATGATGTTAAAGACTGAAGTACACCTGATCCAAGTCATGGTCTTTTAGATTATTTGCTGTGCATCTGAAAGTTGGGCAGTGAGTAGGGATAACAGAAAAAGAATTGAGGCTTTTGATTGTGATGTTCAAGAAGATTATTGAATATTCCATGGCCTGCCCAAAGAATAAACAAGTATACCTTATAGAAAGCACAACCAGAGTGCTCCTTGGAGGCATGGATGGTGAAGCTTTGTGTCACACATTTTAGGCATATTGTTGGGAAGGGCTAGTCCTTGGAAACCAACAAAAAGATGGACAATCTTTTCCCCATGTGATTTAAAATTTATTGCTTCTGAAAACCCACTGGAGAAAGGTCAGCTATATCCTAACTCGATGCTATGTAACAATATAACAATTCTTTGGAAAAGAATATCATGTCCAGAAAGGTGGAGGGTCAGCTAAAGAGAGGAAGCCCCTTAGGGAGTGAATTGACACAGTGACAGCAGCTACGGGCTCAAGGATATCAGAGATGATCAGGTTGGTACAGGTGACATTATTCTGATTTATTGTCCTTTTATTTAAATTTTTTTATTATACTAGTTTATTTACAAAATTAGAATAAAATAAAATTAGAGAGCTATGATGGCCTAGTGGAAAGGAAGTTATGCTACCAAGCCAAAGGTGGGTGATTTTCATCTGAGGCCCTCTCAGCCAGGTTCAAATTGTTTTCCTGTCAAACATTCTTCTAGGTGGCATAGCACTGGTCTGTGCAGTTGCTGTACAGAGATAACTCGTGTGATGCTGAAGACTGTGACAGTGATGTGCCAGTCGTGGTAATGGGCACCCATGGTGGACAGTGTTGGCTGGAGCTTCCCGACTAAAACAAGCCTGGAAGCAGGAGCGGCATCCACTTCGGAAATGGCTTGCCTCTGGAAACTCTATGTACAAACAGTGATCAGGCCTTTGTTCATAGGTTCTCTAGGAGTCTTCTACGACTCCATGGTACCAAACAGCAACAACAGCATACTAGTTTATTTACAAAATTAGAATACATTGTTTTCCAGACCAGATGAGATTTGTTATTCTTAAATTCACTTTGAGCAGTACTAGACTCAATGGCACCTAACAAAAACAACAATTAAGAAGACTGGTGATGCAATAGTCAAGTGTTGGTGGTTTCAATCCACCCAAGTGACATAAAGCCAAGAAAGTCTTGGCAATCTGCTTTTATGAGATTACATCCTGTGACAGTTCTACTCTGTCCCATAGCATTGCCATGAATCAAAACGAATCAAACTTCATATTGCAGATTGTGTTTACGATAACTACAAAAATTAAAACTGACACAGAAGATCCTCTTAGCGTTAATTTACCTGGATATACAAATAACTGACATGCAATCGTAACACGTATATGTAATTTATATAATCTTTTAGAGTGGAGATAGAGTTTTTGAAACGTGCACTTGAGTCTATGTCAGAGATCTGTCCAGGACGTTATCACTTAATTACACAGCGGAAAGCAGCAATGACTCACAGGGCTGCGTTCTCTACCCTCTGCCCAGGGGAATGAAAATAGAGAAGAGTTAATCATGGACTGCTAGGAAAACAAACAGATTCGTCCTGGAAAGGGTTAAACCGGGTGGCTCCTTGGAGGCAAGGATTCTGAGGCTCCGTCTAACATACTTTGGACATGTTGTGAGGAGAGACCGGTCCTTAGAGAGGGACATCATGCTTGGGAGGGTGGAGGGACAGCACAGGAGGGGAAGGCCCTCTGTGAGGTGGATTGATTCAGTGACTGGGGTCATCGGGATGGGAGTGTCAGAGACAGTGTGAATGGCACAAGACAGAGCGGAGTTTAGGGCTGTTGTCCATAAGGTCGCTATGAGTCGCAAGCGACTCAACGGCACAAAACAACCACGTCCGGGGGAGGTCAGGGCACCTGGTTCTATTTCCTCATTGCCGACACACGGGGGCGCGCTACCGTGGTGACCGCCTAGATGCCGGCAGGCGACGCTCTTGCCGCAGGACGTCGACATGCTCACGTCCGCCGGCACGCACTCCCGGACCCGGAAGCACGTGTGTCGCACGCAGCGTGGGTCGCTGCCTTGGAAACGCAGACCGCGCTCCGCGCTCCGGGTGGGAGCTGCCTCGGGTTCGTGATGCTGTGCGCACCGAGGCTGTGCGGTGCGGGGACCGCGGCTTCGCAGCTGCTGCGTGCTTGGCGGGGCTGCCTCCTCGCAGCGTGCCGGGCCCGAGGGGTCAGCACCAGCTGGTTCCCGGTGGGCGCCGCCTTCAGTGTCAAACCTCAGGGTCGCCGCCTGGACCTCTTCGGCGAGCGCCTGGTTAGTGGCGCGGGAGGGTCCTCTGGGCTACTGGATTTAGGCTGGCCCCCTTCGCGGGCAGTGGATCCTAGGAGGAGCCCAGGCAGTGGACTGTGGTCTCCTTGCTTGTTATCCCCGGGTTTAGTTAAGGGGAGTGTGCCCAGCCCAAAGGGTACCAGAACCATCGGTGTGAAGTTTGGAATTGTTAGGTGTGGTCAAGTGTACTGCATGTACTAGCGATCCTACCAACAGATCTGACTCATGCCCTGTCCTCATGACCTCTGTCGTAGCACACTGCGGTTGTCATTGTACCAAATCCATCTTGTTGAGGATCTTCCTTTCTCGTCTTTATTCTCTACCTTTCCCAGCATGATGTCTCTTCTCAGGATTGTTTCCTCCTGAAAATAATTGCAAAGACTGTGGCCTGGATTTATGGTGCTGAACTCTGTGCCACTGGGGTGTTGAATGCCATAGCAGTTACCCATGATGGTCAGTGTTTGGTGTTTTTCCTCTCTCCCTGAGTACTACAAGAAGGGTGGTTGATAACAGTGAGCAGTCAACTTTATTAGATTGAGGGATTTAAAAAAAATCTTATTTGATATGGAAACTTACCTTTGGAAACGAAAAAAAATGACTACCTCTTTCAGCCCTACGACTTGGTTTACTGTTATTTAACTTTCTCTAAAGGCCCGTGAGGGAGTTCTGGTGGTCTAGTAGATAAGGAGGTTGTGCTGCCATCCAGAGGCAGGGGATTCTAATTCCACCAGCTGCTCCTCAGGAGATCTATGAAGTTGCCTCCCAGTGTGAGCTACTTCTGAAAACTCACTGGAAGGTCAGCTGTAGTTCTATTCCAAACTGTAGGCACATAAGAACAACAGAGGTCTTTGAGTGGCAAAAATGTATGTTTGATTATTAGGTAAAAGGGGGTGGTTTGAACCATGAACATTGTAGAAAAAAAAGATTCTAGCCAGTAAAACTTTATGTTAAATGTTTTTATCAAGAGTTGGAATTGACAGCAACTAACAGCAACAACAGAAGGCCAGTATACTTGGAGATTAACTCCTTGTGTCGGCATTGTACTGTAACTGGCTGTGTACTCAGACCTTCCTGTGTACTAATTGTCCCAAGTACTCTGCACGTGTTTTCTGATTTAGGTCCTGCTGTCGTGTCTCATGCTGCGAGATGCATATGAAGACATCGAGGCCCAGGGCCCTGACTAAGTTGGCCCTGATTTCCAAAACAGACCCAACCCACTACTGTCAAGTCAGTTCCAACTCCTGGGGATCCTTCACTGGGTTTCTGAGACTGGACATCTTTATGGCTGGAGGCTGCTTCATCTCTTTCCCAGAGACTAGTTGGTGGATTTGAACCTCTAACCTTTTCAGTTGGCAACCCAACACGTAATGTATTATTATGCCACCAAGCCTCCTTTAGCCGTGATTCCTTACCTAATAATTGTGAACCCACTGCCAACAAGTTACTTCTGATTCGTAGAGGCCCTCTGTTGGGTTTCCCAGGCTGTAAATCTTCACAGGAGCTCATCTGTCTTCCACAGAGCAGCTGGGAGATTCGAATTGCGGGTTTTATTGGTTAATAGCTTGATAGGTCATGCACTTCACCACTAGGGTTCCATCATCGTCATCATCATTATCATCATCGTCACAACAGTTGGCATCTGTTAAATTCCTTTTTGTGTGCTGGACACTGTTAGGATTCCCCCCCCCCCATCTAATTTCATCCCCCACCTACTGTGAGTTAGGTACTGTTGTTATGACAGAGCTGGATTTTGAATTCCTATTACCCTATTGTTATTTCTCATCTTTGATAAAATAATTGGGAGTTGAAGAGAACTTCTATTTGCTGTGTGTTCCTTCATTCTCTTGGTGAGGAGTGATGTGGGGATGATGAAAGGGATATCCGTGACCACAGTATGTCATACACTGAGAGAACCATGATTCTCTGAATGGAAAAATGTTTCTATTTAGCACTCACCTCGATTTTGGTGATCAACTGGAAATATCCTTTGGGTTGCAGGGCCTTTTTGGCGTTCCTGAGCTCAGTGCCCCGGAAGGGTTTCGTGTTGCGCAGGAGAAGGCCTTGAGGAAGACGGAGTTGCTGGTGGAGCGAGCATGCAGGACGCCTCCTGGGCCGCTGACTGTCCTCATCTTCGACGAGCTCTCGGATTCCTTGTGCCGAGTGGCCGATCTGGTAAGTGAGGCCGGGGCTTGCTGGAGACAGGGCCACCTTTTATCTAGTACTTAAGGTTAATGTTAGGCTTTGATGATAAAAAGTCTTAAATGTTTGAGAGTTGTTTGTTGTATTTGGTTAGGAACAGGAGGGATAGGAAAAGGAGGTACTTGGAACTTGTCCTTATAACATGATGCCAGATATGAGTTGGCATTTATAATAAAAGAATAATCTCTCATGTGGCAGAGATTCTTCATTTATGACATGTAGCAGAATTCAAATAGGCCATTTTATCTGCACATTCATGATGAAATTCCTCTTATTAGACCCACTCTGGAAACCTCTGTGCCCTGATGACACAGTGCATAATGTGTCAGTCAGCTTACTGAGAGTTCAGTGGTTTGAATTCACCAGTCCCCTCCACGGGAAAAGATGGGCTGTCTTTGCGTGTAAAGGTTGACAGCGTTGGAACCTGTGGAAGGTCACCATGAGCTGGCACCAGCTCCTTGGCAGAGCATCATAAACCTTGGGGTTGCATCAACGGATGGAAAACAAGGTTGTGGTATCATTCTGATTATATTAAAGAGCAATGTGGGATTGAAATAGAAATAGAAACGTCTCTATGAACTGCTCACTTTTCCGTTAGCAGCACTGTGGCCCAGTATGTTATGCACTTTGCCACTTGGGCTTCAATAAAGACTAGGAAACGAGCTGATATACTCTTGTCACATGGGATTGCTGTGGACTGGAATAGACAGCTTACAACAACATATATGTGATTATATTGTTGTTATGTGTTGTTAGCTTGACCACGACGCTGAGAGAGCCTGTGAACGACAGACCTGAACCCTGCCCTATCCTGTGCCATCCTCATCATCTCTGAGACATTTGTGCCTATTGATGCAGTGGCTGTGTCATTCCCCCTTCTGAGGGTCTTTCTCTTTCACACAGACCTTCCACCTTTCCATATATGATGTTCTTTTCTAAGGAGTGACTTCTTCTAACAATATACCCAAAGTATGTGAGACAGAACACTACCTTCCTTCCCTCTAAGGAACACTCTTAAGTCATATTTGTTCTTTTGACACTCCACAGAACACTCTTCTCCCAACATCACTATTCAGAGGCATTGATTCTTGTTTTGTTGTACTTTATCCAGTTTTCAGATTCATAGGAAGTAATTGAAAAGACCATGGCTTAGAACAGGTGCACCTTAGACTTTAAACTGACAACATTGCTCATTAGTACTTTGGAGAAGTCCTTGACAGCAGATTTTCCCAATGCAACATGTCTTTTGATTTCTTGACTGGTAGCAAGGGTGTTGATTGTGAATCTGAGTAAGATAAAATCGCTGATTATTTTACTTTTTTCTTTATCTGTCATGCCAGTGTTGCCTATTGGCCCAGTGATGAGGATTTTTGTTTTCTTCATGTTCAGATGTAATCCATATTGGAGGCTGTAGTCTTTGCTCTTTTGCAGCAAGTGTTTTTAAATCCTCCTTATTTTCAACAAGTAAGATCATGACATCCATATAATGCAGGTTGTTGACAAGTCTTCCTCCTATCCTGTTGCCACATTCTTCTTCATCAAGTCCAGTTTCTTGAATGATTTGTTGAGCATGCAGATTGAATAGATGTGTAGCAAGGACACTGCCCTGATACACACCTTTCCTAATTTTAAACCTTGCAGTGTTTCCCTACTCTGAGGACAGTAGCCTCTTGGTCTAGCTATATGTTTCTTGTTAGCATAGCTAAATACGCTGGAATTTCCGTTCTTTTCAGTATTAGCCAGTTTGTAGTGATTATATTAGTCACTTAGGTATGTGATTCTTTTAGTAAAAAAAAAAGAAAATTCCAAGAACCTTCTTTGTTTTTGGATTTTTAAGCTATCAGCTGCCAGAAAAAGTTTAAGCCATTGTAAGACAGGAGTTGTGGGGGTTTTAAAAAATTTTTATTTTATTTTTGTGTGTGTACCATCAAATCAGACCTGACTGGTACAGGAAGAGATTGTTTGGTGGATTTGAACTGTGTACCTCTGGGATTGCAGTGCAGCTTCTTGCCACTAGGCCACCAGAGCTCCCTAAGACCGGAGTTTTACAAGCTGTATCCTGGTGAGGTGCAGTGTCCCATGGACTGCTTGAAGAGCAAACAAACTGGAAGAACACTGCCTCTGCCTTGGAGGAAGTACGACGAGGGTGCTCCTTACAATGAGGAAAGGATAGGATGCCTGGTCTCACATACTCAGGCATGTTGTCAGGAGGGCCAGTCCTTGGGTCAGCAAAAGGAAGACCCTTAGTGAGACTGACCAACCCAGCGACTGTAATAATGGGCCTGAGAATGATGCAGGAGAGGGCAAGGTGCAGATCTGTTGTTCACAGGGTCACTACATAGAGTCCCCGTCTGTCTTCCTTGGAGCAGCTGGTGGATTCAAGCTGACTAGGCCACCAGAACTACTTTTCCTGCATAGAGACTAGAGTATTGCCTTGACAATATAAAAGCAAACCCACTGCGGTCCAGTCCATTCTTATTCATGGTGACCCTCCATTTGCTTTCAGAGGATTTAAATCTTTATAGGAGGAGATTGCTCATCTTGTCACCTGATAGTGGCTGGTGGGTTTGAACTGCTGACCCTTTAGTTAACAGCCCAACATATAATGCACTATGTCACTGGGGCTCGTTCTTGAAAATGTTTGTTGTTGCTATATGCCCTTGAGTCACAGCCAACTCATAACCGATCTTCTAGTGGGTTTTTGGAGGCTGTAAATTGCACAGGAGGAGAATGCTAGTCTTTGTTTCTCGTAGCAGTTGGTAGATCCAAACTGCGTGCCTTTGAGTTGGCAGCACAACTCCTTACCCACGAAGCCAGCAAAGCTCCCACTTGAAAGTACACATGCCAATAGTTAGAAAAGTATTTTTAAAGAATTTTCTTCTTTTTCCAGGTTCAGATGTTAGAACCATATTAAAAATAATTTTAGTTGGAAACTTCTAGAATATATGATACTATTTGAAATAAGAGTCTTTTGGGATTTTTTTAAACTAAGACTTTCAAGGAATTCCCTTGGTGTTTCTTTCATTTGAAGGCAAAAAACTCTTAACGCCAAGTCGGTAGGAGTATTTTTGTTTGGCATATCACTGTGTTGGTCCTAATGAACTAGGGGTTACACGCGGGAAGGCAGCGGTGGCCTCCCTGACATCAGGAGAACTTGGTCGTGGAAATGCTGAGATCAGGCCACCAGGCGTCTTTGAAAGCACAAGTTTTCCTTTCACTCTTAAATCATGGAAGAAGGTTTTCCATCAAATTCCCTTTGGTTTTTCCTCTTGTCTTTCTTAGGCTGACTTTGTGAAAATTGCGCACCCTGATGCAGCATTCAGAGAGGCTGCAGACGAAGCATGTAGAAGCATCGGCACCGTGGTGGAGAAGTAAGTGGTACCATGTCCCTGTCTTTCCTGTGCATGGAGTGGTCCATGGTGTGCTTAGAGGGCCTGCACACACACAGCTTCCAATGGAGGGTGTGATGGCCTGAAAATGGGCTCTGGAGGCCCACTGGCCCAGCTCTTGGCCCGTGGTAGTTCTTTACCTCTTCTCCAACTTCTTTTCCTTGTCTGGACTCACTCATTCACTCACTCACTCATTCATTCACTACCATCTAATTGATTTTGAGTCATAGGATTTTGAGGCTGAATCTTTAATGAGAGGAGACAGCACTGTTCCCAGAGGAGCTGCTGGTAGATTCTGACAGTCAGAGACAGGCAGCCTTCTTGGTGGCAGCACAGCACGCTATGGACTGTGAGTGGGGAAGTTGGATGATCCACCTCTCAGGTCTGCTCTGCAGAATGAATGAGCTAAGACAGGCACTCCTGGGGTATGCTGCAGGTTGGTCACAGACCATCTCAGTGAAGCAGTAAGCACAATAAAGCAAGGCAGGTGCATTCGCAGTTTCCTAGAGTATGTTTACGTTAGACTCGACTCTACAAAGTATACAATAGAATTTATGACACAATCCTAAAGCTTCACAGCACCTGGAAATAGGAAATAAATGTCATAAGAATTAACCAAAATGTGACACAAAGACACAAAGTGAGCACGTGCAGTTGAAAAAATGGTGCCAATAGCCATTCTTGAGGTGGAGTTGCCGAAGACCTTCAGTTTGTGGGGGATGCCCTGTTTGCAAAGTAATGCAACGTAATTGCAAAGTAAATGCCCTGTTTGCTTAGTAAAGCAAAGTGAAGTCAGACGAGGCGTGCCTATAGCTGTGAGGTGTTGGAATGGTGGCAGGCACACAGCACACACCTAGGACCATTATCACGGTCATCATGACTGATGTGAGGGAAGGACTTTTAGCATCCTGCCGGTGCAGAGTGGGTTATCACGTGAGTAAATTGCTCTCACCATTGATGGCTGATAGGCCACAGGACAGGAAGCCAGGCTGCTGCCAAGCGGGGATTAGGGTGGTCGAAGGAGACACTGAATTGCCCAGGAGGACCAGGGTGGGACGTAGACAGGAGGCCATGGTGCAGTGAGTGAGCTTAAAGGGATTTTGAGGTAACTGTAAGCATTTTAAGCCACTTAGGAACCAAAGTGCTGTGAAAATAACTCTGAGGTGGGCAGTGGGATACTCAGAGGCACTTAAGTGGCATGTAGAGGCACCTGGCCAGATAGCAAGCAGGACAGATGAGAGCTTGAGGAACCAGCGGGAGAAGTTGTGAGAAACAGCATGTCCAGACATGATGTCAGATCAGCAGTTGTCGTAGGAGAAGAGTGGCTTCCTGTAGGGCCTCCCCCTGGGAATAAAGACACCTCCCTGCCTTTTGGCCATGGAACAACATTTGGACAATAGAGCCAATCTTACAGAGCCACTGACAGCCAGCTAGCTGAGTTGGATAAAGCTGAGCCTTGCAAATCCCAGACACTGGGCTGACTGAGGGGTTGGAAGTGCAACCCCTTGTCCAGGTGAAAAGCTGCTGGGTGGCTCAGAGTCTGGACACAGTCCTATCCTTGTGGGCATGGGCAGCAGATTGTTCAAGAACTGCACCATCCATCCTGAGCATGCCAGGGCTTTGGGTCTAGAGGTCAGACAGCAGCTAGGCCTGGTGGTGCAGAGGCTGGGCTCTGTGGGGCCTGTCCCTTCCTCTGCTCTGGCCATGCCAGCCGCCCCGAGTAGCAGCTACAGTTAGTACAAGGAAGGGGTGCCGTACTCAATCATCTCATTTAATCTGACTTGAAACTTATGGTTCCGGCGGTGTCCTGCATCATTATAGGTCAAGAGAGCTTAAATAACTTGCCCAAGATCATGGAGTATAGTATGTCAGAATTTGAGCCTAGGTTTTGTGACTCCAGAGCCCCTGCTCCAGACCTGCCACTCTGCAAAATTCTCATCTGAGAAATGTGGTCACTTACAAACCAGGATGCTTGGTTTGTAAACTCTGTCCTGTTTGACCTCTCACCCATCCATCCTCACCATTCCTTTCATTAAAAGAAAAAAGGCATATCCCTTATGAGTCATCTCAGAGGCAGCTGGGCCAGTTACTTTGCCAACTTGCACAGTCCTCCGCCATTCCGTCTTTCTCCCCTGGCTGCTATCTGTGGTTTTCAATTCTTTCTCTTCCCAGTGAAGTTAGTACTGTAACCCCTTGCCTGATCAGTTGCTTTCCCCTGCACTAATTAGGTGTGATCCAAGTGAACAAGAGTCATCAGAAACCTACTCCAAACCTCTGTGCTCTGAGTATACGAGGATTAGATGCTCTTCTTGCCATAGAAAGGATAAAGCAGGTGTTAGAAAACCACTTAATTGTTTTTAACTGTTTCGCTTGTCATCTTTCTAGGCTGAACACAAATGTGGAACTGTATCAAAGTTTGCAGAAATTGTTAGCTGATAAAAAGCTTGAGGAGTCCCTTGATCCAGAAACCAGGTACTCATTTATTTGTATTCATGGTGGTGGGGTCTATGGAGGTGAGACAGGTCCGCTCTGCCTGGGAGGCCGCCTCCTATGTCTGCCTGACATGAACTTTCCTCGGCTCCACAAATGTAGAGCTTTCCTGAGATCGTGTCTGAGGTCATGCTCTACCCTCTTATCCTGCTTCAGTTTACTTCAGAGCCCTTGTCACTCCCCTTCCAGTGTCTGCAGTTTGTGAGTCTGTTTATCTTCTCTCTGTGGACTGGAGCTCCTGGAGGGCAGGCTCTTGGTCTCTTTGTTCATTGCTGCATCCTCAGCATCTGTGTTCATGGCATATAGTAGGTACTTAACCAGCAGATGGATTCCTAAAAACAGTTGATAAATACACTTATGTTTGTGGTTCAGGTTGTGTAATCTTTGTCATCAGAAGATGTAAGCACTCTGATTTCAGTTATCAGATTGATGTAAGACCCTTGAAATGATTTGCTTTGGTTCATTAGATTACCTTTATGATTCTAAATTTAAAAGGCCTAGTTTCTAAGTCAGTACTTAAACATTCACACTCATTCCTCATTCCCTGCCATTGGGTCACTTCCAACTAAACGTGACCCTTCTACAGAGCTGCTGATAGAGTCGATCTGGAGATACTTGCCTTTTTTTTTTAGCAGGGAAACAGTCTGTGGATTATACCGCCAGACCTGAAATGGACTGAAATTGGCCATTTTGAATCAGACGGTGTACTGTGTAGAAATGACAATTAAAGAGGACTGAGTGTGACATTCATCAACAAAAAGAATGTTTTAAGATCATTTTTGAAGGTCTAACACTGTCAGTGGTAGGATCAAATCCATATACCTATAAAGGAGATTAAGTTACTACAACTGTTGTTAGATTTACTCACCTCCTCCTGTTAGGATTTCCAGCCTTGGAAGCCTATGGCAGATTGAGAGGAGTAGGAACTAACTTGAAGACAGTGAGTAAACAATTTACAATTTACTCATTGCACATACTATTTCTTGGCAGTGTAAATACTAATATAAATATTAACATAAGAATGAGACTACATCTGTGGAAAGAGACCATGGAGAAGCTCAGTGTCATTAGCCGGATCGTGACAGGGGGATGTGGAACAGAACCCTCAATTTCTCATATGAGTTCAGCATGAATTGAAGAACTAGAACCTTGAGTCTGTCCCATATGAATTTAGAGACCATCTCAAGAAGAGATTCAGTGAATGTATTGATTAAGAACTGAAGATGAGACTTATTGTGGGCTGACATTAAGGATATCATACATGGAGAAAGCAAAAAGTCATTGAACAGACAAGAACGAAAAGACCAAAATGAATGTCCTAAGAGACCTGAAACTTGCTCTTGAATGCAAATAACTAAAGCCAAAGGAAGAAGTGAGGTAAAAGAGCTGAAGAAAAGGTTTCCAAGGGTAGTTTAAAAAGATAAAGTAAAACATTATGATGAAGTATACAAAGGCCTTAAGTTAAAAACCAAAGGGGAAGGATAGGCTTGGCATTTCTCAAGCTGAAAGAACTGAAGAAATATTTAAAGTCTTAAATTACAACACTGAAGGATTCTGTAGGCAAAAGGCCACATGAGCAAAATAACAGTTGAAATGTGGGTCTTTTGTCATTGGAGGAAGAGATCCATATTTGAATCCATTCCAAAGGAAAAGCATCCAACAGAATATGAAAATTATCGCACAGTGTCATTAATACTATGTGCCAGTAAAATCTTGTTGAAGATAATTCAAAAAGGGCTGTGCAGGATATCAACAGGGAACTGCCAGAAAGTCAGCCAGAAAGGTGGAAGGGGAATATGATTACTGAAATCAGGTGGACCTGGCTAAAAATGGAGACTGCTGGGAGCTCTGGTCGCCAAGCGGTAAGAAGCTGCCCTACAATCCTGAAGCATGTGGTTCAGATCTGCCAGCTGCTTTGATGGGTAGTCCACTCCTGCGTGAATTACTGACTCTGAAAACCTGCTGGAGGGTCAGCTTTGGATTGGTTTTTGACTGGATGGCAAACCACCATAAGAAGCTAGTTGTTTACATGTGTTCTTATTGATTCTGCAAAGGTTTGATTTTGTGTATCATAAATTATTAATAGCTTTGTGAAGAATAGGAATTCCAGGACACTAATTCATGCTCATGCACAGCTGTACGTAGATTAAATGCCAGTGGATTGAACAGAACCAGGGAACGCTGTACGTTATATAGTCAGGATAGGTGTGTGTCACGGTTGCTGTATCTTTTTGCCACATATATGCTGATCAGATAATCTAAGAGCCTGCACTATATGAATTTGGCATCAGGATTAGGGATTTGTTAAAAGTCATGATACTGTGGATGACAAAACTTTGCATGCTGAAAGCAGAGAGGACTTGAAGCAATTATTGGTGAAGATCAAAGATTATAGTCTTTAGTGTGAATTACTTCTCAAGATAAAGAAAACAAGTCAGTAAGCAGTATCAGGATAAGTGGAGCAAGGGTGGAAGTTACCAAGAATTTAATTTTACTTGGATCTAGAGTTAACACCTATGGAAGGATCAGTCAAGATAGGAGATGGTACACTGCACTGGGCAAACCTGCTGCGGAAGATATCTTTAAAGAGTTAACAATCGAACACATCACTTTGAAGACTCAGGTTTGCCTGACTTAAGCCATGATATTTTCATTTGCCTCATGCTTAAACTCAAAACTGAGGCTCACTGCTGTGGAGTCAGAGCTGCCTCATAGCTGACCCTCCAGCTGCTTTTGGAGGCTGTAAATGGCACAGGCAGAAATTGCCCATCTTTCTCCCAAGGAGTGGCTGGTGGATTTGAACCATCAGAAAGACGTTGCCTTTGGGTTAGCAGCACAGCTCCTCATGGCCCGTGCTTTCCGAGCTCCTGTTTGCCTCACGTGCATGTGAAAACTAGCCAGCTAAAGGAGAGTAGATGTCTTCAAATGTCTGTATTTCTGTATTGGTGAAGAATATGAAATGTATCCCAGAAAACCAACCAGACTCCTTGGAGCAAGGCCAGTGAGAATGCTTTTTAGAACTGAGGGTGGGATGTCTTCTTGTGTGCTTGGCATATTATCAGGAGGGACCAGGACCTGCAGAAGATTATCAGGCTTTGAAAATTTTGTCTCCGTGAAAGAGAAAGACCTTCAACAAGATGGATTGACACAGTGGCTCCCACAGTGTGGTCCAGCGTGCAGTGAGAGGGAGGATGGCGCAGGACTGGCTAGTGTTTTGCTCTCTTACATAAGGCCTTTGATAGATATCACCGACTAGATGACACCTCACAATAATGGGTATTAAAAATCCTGTGACGTTGAAGCATCGAGATGATTGGCTGGACATAGCCAGAAACTGTCAACTTCACATATGATGAGAGTCTAAGACAGTGGCTACAAACCCCCCAAAGAATTGTAGATTCAGTAAGTTACAGTGTTGTGACCGTTCACAGAAGAATGATGTAAGTGGAGTAGCCCTTCAGCTCAGAGGACAGCTTGGCATCAGCAGTTAAAGCTGACTGACTGCAAAGTCAGCAGTTTGAATCGAGTGGCCATGCTATAGGGGGGAAACGTGGCTATGTCTGTAAAGGCTGCTTCTGTGAAGATTGAGTCTTGGAAAAAATCTAGGGCAGTTCCATCTGACCTAGAGTGGCTGTGCATTTAGAACATCCTTCTTATTTTTAGTATCCCCCAAGTTTCATTCCCTGAAATACTATGTCAGTAAGTTTGGAAATCTGACATGCTAATGTCAGAGAGGAGTTATTCTGGGGAGCTGTGGTATGTTAGCATCTCTGAGGAGCCTACCCATCAAAAAACTGGGTTAATTTGGGATTTCCCTGGATGCAAAAAGTATAATGAGCATGTTTTCCAGAAAATATAATGGGAGGAAAATTCAAGCCATAATGACAGAGCTGTAGTATGCTTCAGGGTAGGTTTAGGGAGACGGTGTGAAACTGCAAAACACATCCACACATTTACGCACAGCTGGGAAACATGCACAGTGACAGGAGACAGGCAGGTGCACTTATTATTCCTAGGGAAGGAGCGCAGTAATGTTCTTTTTTATTGGCGTGTAAATTTGATGCTATCCAATCACTATCTTAAGATTGTTTTTGTTTTTGTTGTTGTTAATAACATGGATTTGAAGTAATTGTGAGAGTGAATAGGCATGAGTAGTCTTAACAAATAAAGATGTTAAAAAAAATATACCAGATCATAAAACAAATTATGAAAATAGCCTGTTTGAAAGAGTTTTATTTTATGTTCATGTCAGAACAGTCATTTCAGTGAGAGAATAGACAAAGTCCTGGCACAGACCCAAATTTATATGAGACTGCGCTGAGTATGTGATGGATGTGTTGTTTCTTGTTGGTAGAGAAGAAACGTTACTCATTACATCGTGTTAGGCTTGTAAGTGACCATTTTGGAACAAAAGGAATAGGTTGGTTAAAAATTTAAATACTGGGGTGGGGGGTGGGGGTAAATGGTAGTAATTGATTTTGATATGTGGCAGCTCTTTCCTGGCATTATTCCAAAGACAGACACATAAAAGAGAGTGATACTATCATAGCCTAGTTGTAAGAAGTTGCACTGTAATCCCTAAGGCCCAGGGTTCCAATCCACCAGCTGCTCCAAGGGGTAAGGATGGGACGTCTACTCCTGTGCAATTAACTGCCTCTGAAAAGCCTCTACGGGGTCAACTGTGAGTCAGTTCTGACTCTGTGGCACATAACAACAACAGCTGTATGACAGTTGCAAACTTTCCTGTAGCAAAGCTTGTCCACTTCTGTATGCCAAGTTAATCATCCACATTTCATCCAGTGGTAGATAAAATGCTACTTACATGGTAAAGGGCATCTTTACCATGTTAAGAGTTCTTACAAATTACTAAAGGAAGAGGCAGGCAACCTTTTCCTTTAGCAGTTTAATAATACTAGGAACAACTAGTTCGTAAGGCAACATTTTTTTAAAAATACTCATTTCACCAAAAAAAGCAATTGCAACAAATGGCTGTTAGACTTATAAAAGTATATATTACTTTAATGTTAATATATAGACAGTCATACCTTGAAATATGAGTGCTTCAATAAATTTGTTATTGGCTTCATACTTTCCAAGCCTTAATTTTCTCTTCTGTAAATGGAGCACATTTATAAATGTATTAACTACACTGTAAACTTGAAATGACATAATTTGTGTAGAGTACTTTGCTCAGTACTTGGTGTGTAAATGATGTCATTTGTGTAGCTTTGCTTGGTACTTGGTGTGTAGAAATCATGCTGCGATGCTGCAGGCTGTGCCGCTGGACTCTGAAATACTAACAGACACACCCTTTGTGGATAGATTTCAGTAGCACTTTGAAATTAAGACTAAGAAGAAAGACTTGACTGTCTACTGCCAGAAATTTGCCAATGAAGGCTGCATGAATCACAGTGGAATACTATCCAATGTAGGTTGGAAGGAACTCAGCATGTATAGTAATGTCAACAATTCGGAAGATGGTGTATTCTTTCTCTCATACATGGGATCTCCATGAGCTGGAACCTGCTACCGCTGTTCTAGAAATGTAGAATAAAGCAAAGAGCTCATCAGACGGAAAAGAAGTAAAGACATTATTAATGCTTTGACATGGGTTCTCTGTGTTGTTGTTGTTGTTGTTATGTGCCGTCGAGTTGTTTGCGACTCATAGCAACCCTATGTACAACAGCCCTAAACCGTGCCCTGTCCTGTGCCAATCTCATTGCCTCTGACACACTCATCCCAAGTACCCCGGCCACTGAATCAATCCACCTCATAGAGGGTCTTCCCCTCCTGCACTGTCCCTCTACTCTACCCAGCATGATGTCCCTCTCCAAAGACCTGTCTCTCTTTACAGCATGTCCAAAGTATGTCAGACGAAGCCCCAGAATCCTTGCCTCCAAGGAGCAGCCTGGTTTAATCCTCTCTATGATGAATCTGTTTGTTTTCTTGGCAGTCCATGGTACATTCAATACTCTTCTCTAGCACCACAGCTCAAAGGCGTCAATTCTCCTTCTATCCTCCCTAGTCATTGTCCAACTCTCTGATGCATAACAAGTGATTGCAAAAACCATGGCCTGTATCAGGTGGACCTTAGTCTTCAGAGAGACACTGTTGCTCTTGAATATTTTGGAGAGGTCCCTAACCGCAGACTTTCCCATCGCAATACGTTTTTTGATTCCCTGGCTACTGGTGCCAAGAGTGTTGACCGTGGAGCTGTGCAAACTGAAGCTGTGAACAATCTCAATCTCTTCACCATCCATCCTGATGCTACCGATTGGTCCAGTGGTGAGAATTTTTGTCTTCTTGACATTGAGCCTCAGTCCATACTGAAGGCTGCAGTCCTTGACCCTCTGCAGTAAGTGCATGAGGTCCTCCTCAGTTTCAGCGAGCAAGGTTGTGTCATCTGCATAACGCAGATTGTTGATAGATCGTCCACCAATCCTAACGCCACGCCTCTCCTCATAGAGCCCAGCCTCTTGGATAATCTGCTCTGCATACAGGTTGAAAAGGTATGGAGACAGGACACATTCCTGGCGTACACCCTTCCCAATTTTGAACCATGCAGTGTTGCCCTGCTCTGTTCTGACGACTGCCTCTTGGTCCAAGTATAGGTTTCGCATTAGCACGATTCAATGTTCTGGGATTCTTCCCATTCTTCTCAGAGTCAGCCACAGTTTGTTATGATCCACGCAGTGAAATGCCTTTGCATAATCAATGAAACACAGATAGACATTCTTCTGGTATTCTCTGCTTTCAGCTAAGATCCATCTAACATCAGTTACAATATCCCTAGTACCACGACCCCTTCTAAACCCAGCCTTGACTTCTGGCAGTTCTCTGCTGATGTACTGATTATAGCAGGGGATAAAATGTTTACTTATTAATTCACTTTAAAAGTCTCTGCTCTTAAGTTGTATTTGATTCAGTCCATGGTCTTTTCAGTACATCTGAGATCTGAGCAATGGATAAGGATGACAGAAAAATAATTGATGCCTTTGAGTTGTGTTGTTGGAGAAGAGTACTGAATATTCAGAAAAAAGCCAGACAAACAACTCTGCTCTTCACTAGCAAGAAGCTTAGAGTATACCTGACAAAGAAACAAGTTCTGTATGTTGCTTTAGAGTTACAGGTGTATGGGCTTACCTTGTTGGAATTGATGACCTATTGTTGTTTGTTGCTGTGGGTTGCAGCCCATGATAATGACTGTTTGCATTCACCCCGCCTAAAACCTCAAGCTCAGTGCACTACCGTCAGGTTGATCCTGGCTCCTGGAGACCCATGGGCTGTAGGGTAGGACTGCTCTGTAGGGATTTGTTGGATGTGATCTTCATGGAGGCCGACTGCCATGTGTGTCTGGTGTTAAGCCACTGGGGAAATTTGAACTACCATCCTGTGCTAGCAGATCCTCTCTACTGCTTAGGGGAAGGACCTCCTTGGTGTGCTCGCTGCGTGTAGTATAATATAAATATTTGTTGATGGAAAGACAAGGGGACAATTGGAATGATGCTTAGCTCTTTTAGAAGAAAATGGAGCTGACTGTTCACTTAGGCATGATGGGTCTGCTACCCCATCAACAGGACGATCACTTCAGCCAGTTAGCTGACTAGGCGTTTACTTGCCGTATGAGATGTTAATCCCTTGAATTATAAATATGAAAATGTATGTGTATATGTCTCTCTTCATCTCGAAGCATCTGGCTTATGGACATAAGGTTACAAAAGCTGATTTATTGAACAAAACAATTTTTTTTGTTAGTAATTAATCTTCTCTACTAACTTTCTTACAGGCGAGTGGCTGAACTGTTTATGTTTGATTTTGAAATTAGTGGAATCCATTTAGATAAAGAAAAGGTAAGTCTTTGCTTGTTTGCTATTTTGACTCCTCTTTGACTAACATTTAGTTGGAATCTTTATCATTGCCTTGCCAAACCAAATCCATCGAGTTGATTCCGACTCAGAGACCACCCACTGGGTTTCTGAGTCTGTGAATCTATTACAGGAGGATACTGCCTGTCTTTCTACTGGGGTGCAGCTGGTGTATTTGAACTATTGACCTTATGATTAGCAGCTTAATATGGATATGCTACTTTTTACTGTTATTCACTCCTCAAATTCATTGTCATTGAGTCTAAACTGACTCGTAGTTGGCTCTCCAGCGGGTTTTCAGAGGCAGAAAATCTCATGCGAGGAGATAGTTGGCTTTATAATCATTGTAATGAATATCAGTTGAGAATCGGCAAAAATCCATTAAGCACATAATTTCACATCAGCTCTCCATGACAGTTCTCTTTTGGACACTATTACTATTCATAGTTTACAGCTGAGGCAGTGGTGGGGGGGGTGGTCTCCAGAGCTTTGTGGGAGTTAGTGGAGGAGCTCCTAACTCAGTCCAGACCAGTGACCCAGCATCTGCTAACAAAGTAGAAACAAACACTTGCTATATGACAAGTAACTTTCAGGGCAGGATTCTAAGCCAAGAACTCTCTGCTCTTCTGTGTGTGTGAGAACAGTGTTAGACATGCTACCTCCCAGGACACCAGGGTCCTGATACACTGTGCTCACCAGCTTTGTCAGCCTGAAATCCCTGTCAAAGCTTCATCTTCAGGTCATGTTGTCTGTGAAACTTGGACCAGTTCTTCTCTTGTGGCATTTTGCTTATGTCTGGAGGTTGTACTAACTGAAAGACTGCAGGTCTCTGGTCGTGCAAATACACCACCAGCAACTTAGGAGGATAAGCAGTCGCCTCCTGTTGGGATTCAGAACCTCGGAAAACCACTGGAGCAGTTCTCCTCTGCCTGTGGGGTTGTTGGAAGTCCAAATCCATCAGTGGTAGTGGGTTTGGGCTGGTTTTAATAACCTTTTTGCTATTCCCCAGGTTAACATTAGGTGGCGCTAAGTGGCCGCATCAGAAACAAATTCTCAAAATCTCAAACTCATTGCTGACTCTCTGGTGGATTTTCTTTTCTTTCTCAGTGAGTTGGAAACGACTCAGAGCTGACCCTGCAGCAGGTTTTCAGAGACTGTAATTTGAACAGGTCGCAATTGCACATATGTCTCTTGCAGAGCACCTGGTGGATTTGAACTGCATATGTTTGGGTTGGTATCCTAACTCCTTATCCACTAGACCACCAGGCATGGGAGGCTGAAGGAGATTCCCCATCTTTCTCCTGAGGAGCTGCTGGGGGATCTGAACTGCCTGAGAGGCCTGACCTTTCATCTAGCGGCACTACTCTGTCCACACCCTGCTGGGCAGAGAGAAATCCTGGGTTAAGTTGGACATGCAGGTTTTTGTTTGTTTTTTTTTTTTTTGGACATGCAGTTTATGAGCACGTTATTTCATACACGGTATTTCCTAGGAAATGTTTGTTACCATTGACTTACTTTTTTTCATACTTTTTTCGAACTACTTTTGTATGCATCCAGCTACATTTTATACATTTATATTTTTAAAAAAATTCCCCAACTACTGACAGGCCAATGGCTTAGTTATTTTTAGGGTCCTGGTTCAGCCTGGGAACTATTACTAGCTATTTATGCCTCCCAGGAAGATGTACGTATCATCTCCCTGATCTCCCCCAGGAGCCCAGGACCAGAATCCCCATTGGTTTTCCAGTGATGGATAACTGAAAATTCACCTCTTCCTCCAGTTGTTGTTGTGTACTGTCGAGTTGGAACTGATCCATAGCTGACCCTCCAGCGGGTTTTTAGAAGCGGTAAGTCATACAGAAGGAGACAGACTATCTTTCTCCCATGGAGTAGCTGGCAACACAATTCCTTACCACTGGTGAATTACACATACAGTGATGTAGATTTCATCCTAAAATCTTTGGGGCAAGTCCCTTTAAGAATGCACATTTCTTCAGGAGACTGCATCTCATAAGGATAAACCTGCACATTGTGCCAGGGTTATCATTGCCAACCAAGGGCATCCCAGCTCCCAGTTCTGGGCCCACCTCCTGGGAAACAAGGTGGGCGGTGGGCTGACTGAGTGCTGTCCAGCCTGGCTTGTCTCATCTTGGTACTGACCTTGTCCGAGCTTCTACAGTTGCTTTTCTCCTTCTGGATAATCACAGTTGATCCTTGAACAACATGGGTTTGAGCTGCCATGTGCATTTTTCTGTTGTGATGAACTCAAGAATCCACTTAAAAACCTTCACTGGTACTCATCATGTCCGAGTGAGCATTTATAGGGAGAGGTGTTCATGCAGGCAGAACCCTGCCCCCCACCCCAGGTGAGAACAGTGCCTGAGCTCAAAGCAGGAACACAGAGGGGAGGGGGGGGTAATCACACGTGGGGTTCAAACCTGCATTGTTCAGGAGGTAGCTGTAAATTGTACACAGTTTGAAAAGTAGGAGTCTTTCATCCTCCTCACTGCATTGGTTCAACTCTTTTTTTTTTTTTCATGGTCTGATTTATTTATTTATTTATTTTTTTAATTTAGGTTGTTTATTTTTCATTTCAATGAACATCTACAGAGATTTTGGGATTCCATTCATTCATTGTTGCACCCTTCTCCCCGCACAAACCCCTCCCCTCTCCCCCCCATTTGCTCCTCTCCTTGAAAAGCAAAAGAAAACCTCCCTCATTGGTACACAATCCCCCCCTGCACCTCCCCAAACCCCACCCCCTACCCCCAAATATAATCCACTCTGCAACCCTCATTGCATACTCCTACGATAAAAATAATGCCCTAAAATATAATACTTTTAGACTATTCTCTCCCCCATAGACTTTAATGCCGCAAACATATTTCATCCAGTCTTTCTCAGTCTTACCCCCACCCCAATGCCAGCCTCATTCTCTTAATTCCTTCAGGCCTGTCATTTTCACAGATTTTTAAGATTGAGTGTATATTTTTGCCTTTTTCAAATCTTTAGTGTTTTTGTCTAAAAATACCCTCTGTGCTTTGTAAATCATCAATCACAGAAATACTGTAAAATCATAAGGCTATTATTTATCAGGGAGTTGTGGTGGCCCGGTGGTAGGGAGTTGCACTGCCAACTCAAAGGCTTATGGTTTGAATCCAACAGCTTCACTGAGGGAAAGATGGGCAGTCTCCACTTGTGTGATATACAGCCTCAGAAAACCCGCTAGAGGGCCAGCTGTAATTCGGTTCTGACTTTATGTATCATCACCACACCACAACCACCACAATATCCGTTTGTTAGGGTAACATGTATCTTAAAAACAGGATTAATGAATTATTGCAATTAGTTAATAGCCATGGTGCTGCAGTGGTTACAGTACTTAGATAGAAACCACAAAGTTGCCAGTTTGAACCTCCCAGCTGCATTACCAGACAAAGTTGAGGAACTCTGTCTCCATAAAGATCTCAACCTTGGGACTCCTTCAGAACAGTTCTTCTCAGTCCTGCGTGTCTGGGAGGCAGAATCAAGTCAGCTATAATGGATTATGTGATACGCTTTAGTACTTCCTGCTTAGATTTAAGTTTTGTTTACATTTAAACAAATATCTTTTTTTCAATTTCTATTTAAATTTTATTTTGTTTTGTCACTAAATTATGACACATTTCAACAATATGTGTTGGTTTGCCTTTTTTAGTGGCTGTCTGTTATCATGAAATATCAATTACAGTTACCTTGAAATAACACTTTCTTGTTTCTCCACGTAGCGGGAAAGAGCAGTGGACCTCAACGTTAAAATCTTGGATCTGAGTAGCATGTTTCTGATGGGAACCAATGTCCCAAACAAGATTGGGAAGCAGCTCCTGCCGGAACACATCCGCCGCCACTTTATCACCTACGGGGAGCACGTGGTCATCGATGGGCTGCATGCAGAAGTGCCTGACGACCAGGTGTGTCCTCTGCTCTTGCTAGCTTATGTCCTCTGGGTGGACATAAACAACAACAACAACAAAAAAAACCAAACTAAAACAAGCAGTAGTGCCCTTTTAAGGAGAACTGGTGGCCTAGTAGCAAGAAGATGTGCTGCAATCCTAAAGGCACACTGTTTGAATCCACCAGCTGCTCTGAGGGAGAAGGATGGGAAATCTCCAGTGTGATTAACTGCCTCTGAAAACCCACAGGAGGGTCAGCTATGAGTTGCTTCCAACTCAGCAGTACACAACAACAGCAACAACTTTTAAGGTACATTTAGTGTTAGTAATTTGGAAGCAGGAGCGGCATCCACTTCCTAAACAACATGCGTCTAGAAACTCTATGAACTTTGATAAATGATGATAGTTATAGAAAGGTTTCAGGACTTTTGTTCACAGGGTTGCTAGGTCGTTCTCGACTCAATAGCAATCAACAACAACACTGTTAATAAGCCTTGAAAACATGACATGGCATTTTGAATTCCATAACTGCTTTGAATAAAGATAATAAAGTAATCCTGGCTGCCTTTAAAAAAACCTCATTTTAAAATCTGATTAGTAACAGCAATGAATGACCATTAGATGACTTGAATTTTTAGTTTACACAAGTAGAAGTGTTGTAGTGTAAAGATACATGCCCCTCCTTTCCACTTCGTCCTTTTGTTGTTAGGGCTGTTGAGTCACTCCCTACCATAGCAACCCTGTGCCCAGCAGAACAAAGCAGCGTGTCCCAGGCCTGTGACGCCCTCCCAGGGTGAGCTCACGGCTGTGGCTGCTGTGTTAGCCCCTGTTGTTGAGGAGATTCCTCTTGTTTGCTGACCCTCTGCTTGACCAAGCATGACGCCTTTCTCCAGGAACTGGTCCTTGCAGGTAACATGTCCAGAATACACGACACAGATTGCTGCCTTCTCTGCTTCTTAGGAGCACTCTGGCTGTACATGTCCTAGAAGTGTGTTCTTCTGGCGGTCTGTGGGCTGGTTGATATTCTTCACCAACACTGTCATTCAAAGATGTTATCCTACCTTGCCGCTAGAGTGCCAGAGAAATAGCTGCTGCAGTCCATACTCACTTGTGAATCCCAAAGCTTTATTCACCTTATTCAAACCATGGCTTTATTTTTTAAATCTGTCCTCACCTGCAGGTATGATGGCGTAGTATTTTGCATCATAGTGTTTACATCTTGAACCATTTACTTTTTAAATATAGGTGCGAGAAGCTGCTTATAAAATTTTTCTTTATCCCAACGCTGATCAATTGAACTGCTTAGAAGAATTACTCAGAAACAGAGACCTGCTGGCCAAGTTAGTGGGATATTCTACGTTCTCCCACAGGGCTCTCCAGGGAACAATAGCTGGGACTCCAGGTAAGGGCCCTCGTCACCTCGAAGGATAACAGTGGATTTTCATAACACTGAGCTTGGTCTTAGGCAGCAGTATGTTAAGTTCTAGTTTTACTATTCCCACAGATCTCTTCTTTGCATTGTCCACGTGTCTAGTTTGGTGTGGTTTATAAATGTTGCTATGTGCCGTCGGGTCAGCACCGACTCATAGCTTCATAGCTGACCCTCCAGTGGATTTTCAGAAGTTGAAAATCACATGGGAGAAGATAGCCCATCTTTCTTCCATGGAACAGCTGTAATTTGGCTGTAATTTATGTCCCACTGCAGTATTTTATTTCATGAAAAGAAATGTTTAACTTTTCACTTGGCACTCATGAAAATTATTTGCACATTATGTTAAATTGATATTGTGCACAGTCTACCCACGGTGGCAGAGAAGGGAATAGGGGGACCTGCATTAAGAGGAGAGTGAAGACAGGCTAAGAAGCAAAGGTGAAGGTGAGGAAGGGAGCATCTTACAGTGAGGTGGTTCTCAAAGTATTTCATATCAGATCCTTTTAATCTGACAGTTTTCCAGGTGTACTAGTTGATGGAGATATTCTTCTCATCCAAGATAACTTTAAAAAAAAAGCCAAGTAAGTGGAAGAGAGTGAAAAATGTGAATAATGCCATTGGACTATTTGTATAGAAACTGTCAGAGGGAACCTATTCACCAAAACCACAGTAAAATGTTACTAAAGAAAATAAAAATCCAAATTAAGATGTGATAGAGTTTCTTTAGGTGCTTAAACATTGTATGGAGTTTTAGAAATGAAAAGCACATAACAGAGTTATTTGGAAACAGTTCTGTAGAACCTCCTGAAATTAGATTTTATTTTTAACTAAATTATGTCTCCTCCCACCCTCTGAACTTCTTGGTGCCCTTCAAAATGACACATGAGGAAGTGTGTTTAGGTAGTTGTATACAAGGCTTGTTGAGCACTGATCCAAGCATTACGTGAGGCTGCTTGGTGTAATACAGGCTTCATTATCTCTAAGCCTTTTATTTCACTCACTCACTCACTCACTCACTCACTCACTCACTCACTCACTCACTGCCATTGAATCAGAACTGATGCAGAGGCTAACGATGCAGAGGCTGAAAATTGAAAGGGAGGAGATTGCCCGTTTTCCTCCCAAAGAGCAGCTGATGGATTTGAACCACGAGAGTCCTTAGAGACTCACTCAGAAAGGGTGTCACTTATATTGAAGGCAGGACAGAAATTTTAAGCCATGTAAATACCCTCTAGTAAATAGAAAAATATTTGTGGCCAACTGTAAAATACATATGATGAGTAATGAAATGAATGCTACTGAACAAAACGTGTGTGAACAGTTAAATAAAAAATTAAATTGCTTTGTAAACCTTCACTCAAATAATAATTTAAAACAGAAAAAATAGACATAGGAAATCTCTCTTCATGAAAAATTGCCTATCATGTTGTTTTCGTTGTTATGTGCCATCGAGTCGCTTGCGACTCATAGCGACTCTATGTACAACAGCCCTAAACTCTGCTCTGTCCTGTGCCAATCGCACTGTCTCTGACACTCCCATCCCAATTATCCCAGTCACTGAATCAATCCACTTCATAGAGGGTCTTCCCCTCCTATACCGTCCCTCCACCCTCCCAAGCATGATGTCCTTCTCCAAGGACCTGTCTCTCCTCACAACATGTCCAAAGTATGTTAGACAGAGCCTCAGAATCCTTGCCTCCAAGGAGCCACCCGGTTTAACCCTTTCCAGGACAAATATGTTTGTTTTCCTAGCAGTCCATAGTATTCTCAATACTCTTCTCCAGCACCACAGCTCAAAGGCATCAATTCTCCTATCCTCCTTGGCCATTGTCCAACTCTCTGATGCATAACAAGTGATTGCGAAGACCATGGCCTGTATCAGATGCATCTTAGTCTCCAGAGAGACACCATTGCTCTTCAGTACTTTGGAGAGGTCCCTAACAGCAGACTTTCCCATGGCAATGCGCCTTTTAATTTCCTGGCTGCTGGTGCCAAGACTGTTGACTGTGGAGCCAAGCAAGCTAAAGCTGTGTACAATCTCAATCTCTTCACCATCCATCCCGATGCTGCCAATTGGTCCAGTGGTGAGAATCTTTGTCTTCTTGACATTGAGCCTCAATCCATATTGTAGGCTGCAGTCCTTGACACTCTGCAGCAGGCGCTTCAGGTGTTCTTCAGTTTCAGCCAACACAGTTGTGTCATCCGCATAACACAGGTTGTTGATAAATTGTCCACCAATCTTGACCCCACATTTCTCCTCATAGAGCCCAGCCTCCCGGATAATCTGCTGCATATAGGTTGAAAAGGTATGGAGATAGGATGCATCCCTGGCGTATGCCCTTCCCAATTTTGAACCATGCGGTGTTCCCTTGCTCTGTTCTGATGACTGCCTCCTGGTCCAAGTATAAGTTTCGCATTAGAATGATCAAGTGTTCTGGGATTCCCATTCTTCTCAGAGTCAACCATAGTTTGTTATGATCTACACAGTCAAATGCCTTTGCATAGTCAATGAAACACAGATAGACATTCCTCTGGTATTCCTTGCTTTCAGCCAAGATCCATCTAACATCAGCTACAATATCCCTAGAACCACGACCCCTTCTAAACCCAGCTTGGACTTCTGGTAGTTCTCTGTTGATGTGCTGATCCAGTTGTTTTTGGATAATCTTCAGTAAAATCTTGCTTGCATGTGAAATCAGTGAGATTGTTCTGTCATAGGAGATAATAAATACTTACTACATTGCCTTTGTGAATTTGTAAAATATAATGGTATGTTAAAACAACTCTATGGAAAACTTTATTTTTTCTTTAATAGTCTTTTTTTACCTAAAAATAACATTTTCTTTTACTTTTCTGGCTTCCTTCCCCCCCCCCCCCCCCCCCCCGAGTCCATGAGCATTTTTAATCTTCTCTTTATTTAAATCTTTTTCTCTGCAGGGTTTTACAGTTTATGTGGTAAAATTCTTGAACATATTGGAATCATAAACCTAAACACAAAAGCTAGAGCTTGAAAAGTTCTATAAGAAAACCTCATGACCTTAAGATAGAAACTGTTGTGTTTTGGGGAAAGTTTACACAGTGAATTAAGTTCTCATTCAGCAGTGTCTCCACACATTGTTCAGCAGCATTCGCTATGTTTTCCACAGGGTATGGACATTCTCCTTGATTGCTTTCTGGTTTTTCTGCTGTTCTAGTTTCCCTTCCTATTTAGTCTTGACTTTTTGGTCTCATAGCGACAAAAACCAACCCAAGCCCACTGCTAACTTGTCCAGCCCCACGCACAGCGGACTCCACCAGCTTGCCAAGGATATACATCTTCACGAAAGAGGCTGTCCATTTTTTTCCTTTAGCAACTGGTGGATCAGAACAGCCTACCTTTTGGTTACCCTCTGTACTGTGCCACCAGTGCTGCTTTTTGACCTCATGTAGATTTTTTCTTTTAACAAAAAATGGAGTTCTGTGCTCATGTATAATATCCTTTATTTTTCTTTTAACAACTTGAAATTTTAATGTTCTACTTCTATATTTTGGCAGCAACATTGAATAATTTATTGCTGTATTTAAAGTAAAAATTGGTTACTAACAGTGATTTCCTCCCCTTTTAAAAAATTTTATACTGGTTTACTTACAAAGTTTCTATACATTGTTTTTCACACCAGATTGTTCCCATTTCCTTAACTCACCCCACGCACCCATCAAATTGTGCAACCCTATGATTACCACTTCCACCCCATCCATCCTCAATCCTCTACTCCCCCCTCCACCATAGATCAACATACATGAAAACCAGTGATGTTTAAAAGAATTCCTTAAATTCTACATCTGAACTGCACAATTAAATTTTAATAATGAATTAGATTTTACCTATTTTTACTGAGGAACTTATTTTTTTATTGCATATGTGTGTAGATAGAAGCATTGAAAGCATAAGGTCTTTGATCTAGCCTCCTAATAATGCATTTTGAGATACTGTCTAAGGCATTTGGTCCTTGCTCTGCCTCCTTTGCTTTTCTGATGAAGAAATCATTACTCCCTAGAATATGTTCTCACGGTCCATTTACAACCCTACTTTGATCTGAAAATCATCATCCTGTGGGCTGTGTAGTGTACTATGTTCATCCAGACGGTTTTAAAATTATAATCGGTGAGCCCATATTATTTTATATAATTGAATTTATATGATTTCAATTTCATTTTTAGAGACTGTCATGCAATTCCTTGAGAAACTATCAGACAAGCTTTCTGAAAGGTCAGTTAATTTTATGTATCCTCTAGAATATATGTCTTTTATTTTTCAAAAAGAATTGGCTTGTTAATAAGTAGAAAGGGGTCTAATAAAAATGTAAGCTTTAGAAAGATGGAATTGTCTTTCTGGGTGCCATCTTGAAAACATAGGGTCAAAAACCTGCTTAGGTTGGGTACTTAACATGGAATTTAAAAAAAAAAGGGACTTTAAAAATTGTTAATTTTGTCCCCCTTAAGGGCTATAGTGCATGTTTTTAAATAGGTCTGTTTTGAAATTGTATAATTTATTACAGAAGAAATCAGTTGACAGGTAAATACTTCTTAGTTCTCTACCTTTTTATGCTGATGAAGTTATCCCTACCATACCATCATTTGCATTTTTCATAAAATAGGGCCCCCCTTTCAAGTATGCAAAAGTGTTTTGTAAATAAAAAAGAATTTTTTATTCCCCCCCAGAAAAATCCCTCGTTTGTGATCAGGGCAGAACTAACTCATAGCTTACCCATCAATGAGTTTTCAAGGGCTGTAAACCACGTAGGAAGACAGTACTGATCTTTCTGCCTTGGAGCAGCTAGTAGATTTGAACCACCTACCTTTCAATTAGCAATGCAATTCCTTATTCACTAGGCCACCAGTTAACTTAGTGTTTTGGGGAGCCCATTATGTATAATCAGCCTTCCCTCCCTGTGAATTCCACATCATGGATTCATCCAATCAAGGATGGACAAATTTTTTTTTTAAGTAAAAGCTATTAAGTGATCAGTCTTTCAAAGTTCTGTAAAGTTCTATTTACACAGTTTTCATACCACCAGCCACACTACATATGATTAGTAATCTAGGGATGAAATAAAGTTTATGGCAGGATGTGTGTAGATGATATGCAAATGTAATATTTTACATAAAGGATATGAGCATCTTTGGATTTTTTTTATTCCTGGGCGTCCTGTAACCAGTCTCCTATGGAAAAACTTGAAAAAATTTTCCAAAACTTCTTTCATACTATGATCTACTATTAAAGTAGACCATCCACTTTTTAACTAGTTCCTCAATCTGTATTTCCTCCTGCTCATATCCTGAACACAGGCAGCTCAAGAGTGAGAGTAATGGAGATTAATCCCTGTGTTTGATTTTCCATGTTTTAGGAAGTATATTAGAGGAACAAGGAACAGGGATTTAGGGTTGTGGTTGTTGTTAAGTGTTGTCAAGTCATATGCGACTCATAGCAACCCTATGAATGAAAGTCCTCAACACTTGTGTGACTTTCATCCTTTCTCCAGGTTCATAGGGTTTCTCCTTTCATAGTTACTCCTTTATAGATATACTTTGTTTTGGGGACTGATGACAAATTTTGGAAATAGTGATACAGATTATACATCATAGTAAATGTAATTAGTGGCACTGAATTGTATGCCTAAAATGACATTTATATGTTATATAGCTTAACATGCACACAGGATGCTCTGTCTGCTTCTGCATTTTTAATTGAAGCTGAAGGATTCTAATCTTTCTCAGGCTCCCCTTTTCACATTCCTCTCTGCTCACCACCCCACCTGTTCAGAGTCTTTGATCACATGACTTGCCCTGGATTTGCACTCTACTTGCTGGCCTTACCTTTGCTGAAGGGGTGAAGGCTAGCCCCAAGGCCCTCATAGATAAGATTCCAGAGAGTTGCATGCCTCACTTTGTCAAAGAGAAATGCTATCTCTTTGCTTTTTCACAGAGGTGTCTAAAATTCCATTTGCCTTTTTGGCTATACCAGCACATAACTCAGATTTCTGTTTTGGATTATAGACATCTGCTTTAGAAGCTGATACTCAGTAATTTGGATTGTTGCTGTTGTTATGTGCCTTCAAGTCACCTGCAACTCATAGTAACCCTATGTAAAATAGCTCTGACCTGAGCCAGCCTTACTGACTCTGACACACCTACCCCCATGACCCCAGTTACTGTGTCAATCCATCTCATCAAGGGTCTTCCTTTCTTGCACTGTCCCTCCACCCTTCCAAGCATGGTGTCCTTCTTCAAGGACCGGTGCCTCATGGCCATGTGCCCAATATGTGAGACAGAGTTTCAAGATCCTAGTCTCCAAGAAGAAACTTGGTTTTCTCTTCTTTAATACAAACGTTTTTGTTCTCTTGGTCCACACTGTGTTCAAGACTCTTTCCCAGCACCACAGCTCAAAGACATCACTTCTTCGGTCATCTTTAGTCATTTTCCAGGTCTCTGATACATAGCAAGTACTTGGGAAGACCATGGCCTGGATCAGGTGCACCTTAGTTCCTAGACTGACATCATTACTCTTTAGTACTTTGTATTAAATTTATTTATATCATTTGGATTCTACTTATAAATTCTAAATTTTCCTCATGCTCCCAATGACCACTGCACTTTTGCTGTAATAGAAAGTTCTTTGGCTGGTTATTTGAGAGTTTATTTTGTTTTGTGGGTTAACTATTTATATTCTTTTCTGGTTGCTTGTAGCTATAGATTATATTTTGAGCACAAATGTCATGATGGTTTTTATGTTATGTATAGGGTTTTCTTCTAACAAGATCTTCTTAGTCTATAAATATTAAGCAATTGTTTATTGCCAGTTTTCCTGTAGGGAAAAAGTCCTATGAATAGAATTCTTAATAGTCTATGTTAGTATTTTCCTACAGAATGCACCTTATTAGTCTCTTTTTAACTATAACAAAAATTAGTGATTTAAGGTTTGTTAATCTTTGTTTTCTATTTTTCTGTAGAGTTCCTAGTTTTGCCGAGATTTCCCTTGCTAGTGCTAAAGCTTTAGCTGGGGAGCTCTGGTGAGAGTTGTGCTTACCCAAATGAGGCGCCTCTCTTGCAGTTCAAATCCATATGTTACGCCATGGGAGAGAGATGGCCAGTCTCCTCCTGTGTGATTTACAGCCTCCGAAAACTTTGCTCTAGGTTTCAGCTGAGTTGGTTCCAACTCAATAGCAACGAGTTTGGGATATTTTTTTATTTGTTTGTTTGTTAAGACAAATGTCTGCCAGGGTGCTTTGCAAGGTAGAAATCAAGTAACCTACTGATTTATATATTGCTGTTTCTTTTGACATTTATGTAAAATTTGGATTATTACTGGTTTACATTTGCCCCACAAATCTTAATCTCATTTTCTCATAAATATTGGTAGCATAAATGAATGAATTCTTCTATAGTGTAACTTTTAAAACTTTATCTTAACCCTCTATAATAAACATGTTTTCCAGAACTTTAAACGATTTTGAGATGATGCGAGGGATGAAAATGAAACTAAATCCCCAAAATGCTGTAAGTCATTATGTTGGAATCATTATCATTCTGTAAATAATCTTATTAGTTGAGTTCATTCATTAACAGTTCAGTCTGAAACTTGACTATAATATGTAGAAGATGCATTGTTTCTAATACTTTAGTTTGATGAATGGAAGTATTAAATGTTTTAAAATCTGTTTTCTTTGAAAGTTTTCAAATCACATTCATTTTTTTCAGACAATCCTTGGTTACCATTGACTGATACAATTAACTTATTATAATATCTAAGCAAAGCCTTATTGTATATTGCTGTTCCCTTCATCCCCCTAAGGACTGAGATATTTGACTGAGGTTGAGTGTACCATTGCCACAAACTAGATAAACACAGCGTGTATTAGTAGATAACAGTGTAAAGGCTAACGCTGCTTCTTTTCTGTACAACTTGGCTTCGTAGTTTGCAGCCGTTCAGTCACTGAGCTGGCAGATCATAATTTTGGCCATTGGTGTTAGCACTCAGGTTTATTCATCCATTTGTTTGCCAATATATGGAGCTAAACTAAGCAGAACAACACTGACTGACAGTGTGTGGTCACATGATCTTACTGTATAGCCCGAGTGACCTTCTGGCTAGGGTCCTGCCCTAGGGTTTGGGCACTCTGAGAAGGGATGGGATCCTAGTTCCTCATGTGGTTGGAGGGAGTGGCGGGCTTGCTGGGAATGGCAACAAAAGTGAGGGTTAGAGTTGAGAATTCTAGACTCCATAGCATCTGCCAAGTTAAAGTACTAGGAAAGATATAGGGAAATGTGTCTTTAAACTTTAGAAACTATTTTAGCAGCTGTCCAGCAGCAGCTCCTAAACAATAGATCAATCCTTTCAAATGCACCAATTTATAAAGTAGGATGTCAGTTTGTAAGAATTGTATCTAGCAAAGTATGTAGTAGTTGTCCTCTGTACGTTTTGGCTTGGTATGCAGGCCTACTTGGAAAGCTAGACCATAGATCATAGATCAGCATTTAGTTTGGTGAACAAAGAAACAAAAATTAAACGTGTTGGCAAAAGCTAATTTAATAAATGACAACAATAGGATTTGAATCTTTATCCTTGAGACATTCTGATAAAATTGTTAGTATGGGTGGTTAGGTACCATCGATATCTCATAGTGACCCTGTGTACCAAGAAGAGACCAGTCCTTAGGGAGGACATCAAGCTTGGTGAAGATGAGGGTCGGTGAAAAGCAGGAAGCCCCTCACTGAGAGGGTGTGACATAGTGGCTTACCACACTGAGCTCAGGTGCAACAGAGAGTGAGGACGGCACAGGATGAGCCAGAGGTTCCTGTCTAGTACGTGGGGTTGCTGTGAGTCTGAGCCCACTTGGGCAGCACCACAGAGCATGAACAATGCTGTGTCTTAGCCATTGTTCGGGGACGTGGAAGCAGATGATACCAAATCACTACCCTCATGCTGCTTGCATGCTGTTGGGAGAAAATAAAATAGTTTTATTGGAAAAGTGAGGATGCCTTGTGTCTTGTGGTGAGAACAACTGTAGAGAAAAAATCATGCTGAGAAGGGAGGTAAGTTAAAAGCTTGTTGCCATTGGGGGGGGACTTCAGGTCATGGCAACCCTATGTGTTAAAAGAGAGTAGAATGGTTCTGTTGAGTTTTCTTAGCTGGAACCTTGAAGGAAACAGATCACCAGACCTTTCTTCCACACATCTGCTGAGTGGGCTCAAACCTCCAACCCTTAGGTTGGTAGTAAACCACTTGTGTAGCACAGGACCTGGAGAGGTGATGAGCATTGCAGGTTTGCTTGGGTTGGTGGAGGAAGACTTGATTGTCATCCAGATCCTTTTCTCCTGATTTCTCGGGTCTTTGCTGTGGAGGCTCGAGGTGTGTGTCTGCCATCTTGGATTGACTGGAGGATGGTGTTTAAGTTGAAAAAAACAAGAAGTGAGGGGATTGTGGTGGAGAAACTTTAGTGAAGAAACTTGTTCGCAGAGAACAGCAAATACAAAAGTGCAAGGCAAAAGCAAGCCTGGCATGCTCATGGAACAGTAAGGAGACTCAGGAGGGAGGTGTGGAGGGAGTGCGGGAAGCCGGAGGGGTCAGCTCATGTAGAATGAAGGTGGGGGAACCAGGGAGAGCAGAAAGAAATGTTCTAGATTTTACAGTTAATGTCAGTTGAATGTGAAGCCAGGAGACAGTCATATTTGAAAGGAATCCTCGTGATAGAGTGATTACGTGCCCAGGTTTGACTTTTGTGTTAGTTGGCTTTCCAGTACGTGCAGGCTTCTCTTTCCATCAGCATTCCGAACCAGTCAACAAAACTGTTAGCACCATGTGACTTCATGACATTTTCTTTGCCAGGATTATGGATTTAGTTCTGCCTTAGTTGTACTTTGAATTGAAGCTTTTATTTTGGGAATTCACCCTAAGCTTCTGTTTAGGCTTAAACACAACTTTAATCTTACTGTAGTGCCCTAATCTTACTTGTTACCTGTCTCATGGATTAATTAATAGTCAGCTTCTTTGGGAATAGTTTTGACATGTTCTGACTTATAGTGACTGTCCGCTCACTGGGTTTCTGAAGCTGGAAATGTTTCTGGGAGAAGACTCTCCATCTTTCTTCCCCCAAGTGGCTTGTAGACTCAAATTACTAGCCTCTCTGTTGGTTAACAGACTGACAGTTTACAAACTAGGCTCCAGGTCCCCTTCCATCAGTTACTGGGAGGTCCTGGTATTTCCTCCCAAGTCATAAATGTGTAAAGTTTTCTGATACAGTAATAGGTTTACATTGTTATCAGCTGGCTAAGTAACTGATGAGAGATGTGAATCAGTTTTGTAGCTTTCCTGACAGTGACCTGTTTCCCTTTAGGAACTGATGCCGTGGGATCCGCCGTACTACAGCGGTGTGCTTCGTGCGGAGAGGTAAGTCCTGATGTTTTAGGACCTGCACAGCTTGAAGAAGCGAGAAGAAAAGGCATGTCTCCTGAACATTTTGTAACTGGACCATCCCCTCAGCTCATGAGCTCATGTTTTCTCATCTAGATCATATCTTAATTCTAAGTGCCACACTTTACACTGTCCCTCTCAGCCTCCCATCCTTCCATGCTTAGGCCATTTCCCTTCTTAGAACTCCTCAGTGTCTTCTCACCATGGCTAGAATCCCACCTTGTCCACCCCACCCGAAGTGCCTTCCTCCTTGCACCTTGAGAGCCTTGTGGCTTGGGGTGTGTTAGCCTCCCTTTGTGGAGGAGTTGGGGATCAGGGTGCTCAGCAGTTGCTGGGTGAACTGCTGAAGGGAGAAAGGGATTATGCTGTGTGATTGTTCTCGGCTTTCTCAATTTTTGTTTCAGTATAATGTCAGCATGGTATATCTTGAAGGCTAGAAATGCAGTCATTTAGGAAACTGAAGTTGATTGCTACTGTTAAGTATTCTTCTGTGTTTATTATAGAAAATGGCACATATGTCTCCTCCCTCCCCAAACATATATTCTCCTTCTGTTATTTTTATGCTTATTTGTAAACTGGAGCAACGCACGTCTGTGTAGAGTGAGCACAGTTTAAAATATCTATGTTCAGGGCAAACTTTATGTGCATAAAAATGGGACTAAATATAAAAATCCCACCCATATTACATTTTTACCATTTTTCTTTATGATTCATTTTTGGATTATATAGTTTAAAAGTAAGCATTAGGATTGATTTAAGAAATGGAAAACAATGCATATTGTTCATTTCCTCATTAAAGTATGTTAGTGTATACTCTGAAAAAATATAGATATTTTTGATTGGTATTAGTCTTTAAAATTTTTGTTAGCATGTCTTAGTATCAAGCAAAGGGTAGTGGGTACTGCTTGAAACTTGGACTTTAACTTTTTATGGTGATTTGAGTGAAATTTTAAAGAGCATATTAGTTGTACTTTTAAAAATGTTAATGATTTCTTCTGGCACTTGCTAGTGGAAAACGATACCATTATATGTTCTTTTGGTGCCGGCTGGGTGAGCTCGGCTCCTGTGCTGAGGGCTCACCCACTTCGCTTTCTGTATTTTCTCTTCTTTGGCCTTCATTGTGTCACTGTTTCCCAAACCACAGCTGCTCACACAGTGTCATTCCGCCTGGACCGCTAGGATAATACATTTTGTCAGCTAACATGTCTTAAACGTGTATTGGAAAGTCATCATCCATCATCGTCTCCATAGAAAGCACATTGAGAACAGTCTGAAAGCCTGTCCTTCCATAGTTGTTGTTGTTGTCCTGTTGAGTTGGAACTTACTCAGAGCTGACCTTCCAGTGAGTTTTCAGAGGCAGTAAATCGCATGGGAGGAGGTGGCCCATTTTTCTCCCACAGAGCAGCTGGTGGATTTGAACCTGTATGTCTTTGTGCTGGTAGTACAAATCCTAACGATTAAGCCACAAGAGCTCCCTGGTATAGTAGACTTACTAGCAAACTGATTTTCCATTAGTAACTTATTCAGAGTCTTGAATATCCTGGTCATGGTAAAGAATGAGTTACTAGGATATAGTATAGCAATAGAAGACTTTGTTTTATACTTCCAGAACGTCAGCCCTGGTTTCCTATAGCTGTGTGCTGTTAGGGGCCATAGTGTCCATTCCAACTCTAATGGTCCCACCAGACAGCTTTCTAAGGGCTAATCTTTACAGGATAAAGGGCCTGGTGCCACAGTGGTTGAATGTTTGACTGCTGGTTGAACAATGAGTGGTCCTTGTTTTAAACCCACCAGTTCCTTGGTGGGAGAAAGGTGAAGTTGTCTGTTGTTGTAGTTATGTGCCATCGAGTCGCTTGCGATTCATAGTGACCCTGTGTGCAACAGCCCTAAACCCTGCTCTATCCTGTGCCAGTGTCACTGCCTCTGACACTCCCATCTCGTTTACCCCTGTCACGGAATCAATCCACCTCATAGAGGGTCTTCCCCTCCTGTGCTGTCCCTCCACCCTCCCAAGCATGATGTCCCTCTCCAAGGACCGGTCTGTCATTACAACATGTCCAAAGTATGTCAGACGGAGCGTCAGAATCCTTGCCTCTAAGGAGCTGCCTGGTTTAACCCTCTCCAGGATGAATCTGTTTGTTTTCCTAGCAGCCCATGGTACTCTCAATACTCTTCCCCAGCACCATAGCTCAAAGGCATCAATTCTCCTTCTAGCCTCCTTAGTGATTGTCCAACTCTCCGATGCATAACAAGTGATTGCAAAGACCATAGCTTGTATCAGATGCACCTTAGTCTCCAGAGTGACACCATTGCTCTTCAGTACCCTGGAGAGGTCCCTAACAGCAGTCTTTCCCATTGCAATAAGTTTTTTTATCTCCTGGCTGCTGGTGCCAAGAGTGTCTACTTGTAAAATAGCCTTGGGAACACTTTGAGGCAGTTCTCTGCCCATAGGCTTGCTGTGAATTGGAATCAGTTTGATGACAGTGGGGTATTACTGCTATTATGCATTGCTGTTGTTGTTGATTGCTGTCAAGTCGAGCAGACTCATAGCGACCCTATGCACAAAAGACTTTAAGTCGTTCTTTAACTATTGTCGTTTCTCAAAGTTCATCAAGTTTCTGGAGGCATATTGTTTAGGAAGTGGATGCCACACTTGCTTCCAAACCTGTCTTAATCTGAGAGCTCCACCAAACACTGTCCACTGTGGGTAACCATTATGACATTTGACATCCCATTGGCACAAGGTTCAGCTCACTGCAATCCAAGATTACCTCAGTACAACAAATTGACAGAAGAGTACAGGACTGTACCACTTAGAATAATGTTCCTCCAAAATATAATAACAACCGACTTTTAAATACAAAGACCCTCCATGAGGTTTTGTTCACTCTAAACAAGAGACTTAAATAAAAAAACAACAAATATAATATGCTGTTGTAGTTGTTATGTATTGTTTTCAGTAAACTGCTATTATTACCTGGAACTAGGCATCTTGAGAAGTTTCCAGTGGTCCACTCTAGGAGATACTTTTTAAATGTTCTCTGAACTATTTGAGGGAGATAGGCCAGTTCTCTTTCAAGCACCTTTCAGAAAGTGCTTGTTGTAAAAGTCGTGAATGTATTGAATGAGCTGTAGAATGCACGTCAGTTAAGCTTCCATGGCAGACGCAGCCTGCTGAGAAGGGCAGTGACTGACCCTGCTGCATCCTGCGGTGCCCTGAAGTCCAGGGGAGGGAGACAGCAGGGCATTTGTCTGCAGCCTCACCATGGCTTCCAGATAAAATGAGAGCTGTCCCTCAGGATTTCTAGGATCTTTGGTAATAAACACACACAACTGTTGTTGTTTAGCACCTGCTCTGGGACTTGAATCTCTTACCACTTTGTTGCCACCTCTCCTCACCTGGGCTGTGCTCCTCCAGTCACAGACGTCTCAGTGCTTCAGTCTCAGACCTCTCAGGCTCCAGACAGAGGCTTTCTCGGCAACCGTGGGTGCCCTTCACCTTGCTTCTGTCTCAGATCTTGATGAAATTCAGGAAGGCACCCAGGTCTGTGCTGGCCTCCCTGGCCTCCTTTCGCCTTAGTGCTCTTATGGTTGTGGTGCCAACAGTACTGTCTAAGTATGTGTTCCTTTGAATGAGTTACTATTTCACGTGGGCTTATGTGCATCAGCCGTATAGTGACGCTCCTAAGAACTTGGACTGTCTTATTCCTCCTCTTGGCAGTGACGTGCAGCACACATGCAGGGACCCACAGCTAGCCTTCAGGCACACACCTGTCAGCCTCACATTGTGAATCCTGCTGATGAGTTTCCTGTGAAAGCTGATGTCTTTTGGATGATATTTTCAATACTTCAGATAGTAGAAAGCAGTGTGACCTAGCAGGTGTATAATGAATGCTCACTTGCTGATAGAGGCTCTGAGTGACTCCATGACACCCCCCCCCCCAACCTTCATCTGACCTCCTCAACACCCACAGGCTAGTCTGGGGGGATCACACTCTAACACCCCCCTTGACATACACAAGCTGGTCTGGGGACAGTGTGGCATCTCTGATGTCTTCAGGCTCGAGTGTAGATCCAGGGTGGCCCCACCAGCATCCATCTGGCGCCTCAGTTTGTTTCCGTACTGCTTTACGTGGTTATTTACTCATCAGAGAATCAAGGAAAGGGATGCAGAATGTTTTAGAAGGGCCTGTAAGAATTTGGGGTGGCAGGTTTGTGGTTTTTTGTGTGGGTTTTGTGTGTGTGTGTGTGTGTGTGTGTGTGTGTGTGTGTTTTTAAAAAATCTATGTTAAGTGGGTTAAAAAGCAAATCTGTTTCAGTTGAAGTTTTCAGCAATCTTGATTGACAGAAGTAGGCTGAAAAGCACAGCTAATGGGAGAGAAAAGAAAGAGGAAATATAATATTTTGAGCTTGGGGTTAAAAGAGTAGAGCAAAATACAGATTCCTAAATCCTTTTTAGATTCTTCGACTTTGAAGCAAAGATTTGAATGTGGTGCTTGACATGAGATGCAGCACTGAAGGGACTTTCCCTAACATGAGCCACCTTTCATGCTAACCCCTGGGACTTTTTTTTGCTTTTATGTTTAATATGACAGGTTTATTCTGAAGCTTCTTACATGTCCACCTAGAGAAAAGAACTTTAAATTAGAGGATAAGAAATTAACATGTTTTGAAACTGCCAAAAGTTGATGAGGAAAGTGGTGGTTATTAGTGGATGATGGAAAATCTTAAGAATGAGATGGATTTTTATTGTAGTCTTAGTATTATATTTTTTTTATTTTTTAATCATGAAGTTTACTTAGAAAATGATTCTATTTTAAATTAAATTTTTTTGTAATTAGTTTATCAGTATGGCAATTGAAAAACAAGACCAAAGAGCATTAAGACATATTCACTGAGAAATTTTGACTGCATCTCTCCCTAACCCTCATCTTCATAGGTGGAAAGATAGTCACTTTAAATTGTTATTTAATGTG